GAGGACGTGGGGGCTCCCTGCCCGGGGAGGGTGGGGTGGGGTTAGTCCTGAGCACGGGGCTGCGGTATTGAACTTGGCTTCTCCCAGCCCAGACGTGCCTAGACCTGGTGCCTGCGGGGGCTATAGTGAGCCTCGGGCCTCCTGGATCCCACCCCCGTGGGCACCGTGGTCATGCCCTGTCTGTGCCTCAGTTTCCCTGCATGGAGCCCTGGTCGAGCGCAGGCCGGGGAGGGATACAGGCTGCCGGTCCCTCGGCCTGGGACCTTCAGGGGCTTAGCACCGCTCTGGACGTGCCCCGCAGGTCCCGGCGGCCCAGACGGAAGAGCAGCGCCACGTCCTGTCCTTGCTGCTGGAGCCCCGCAGCCTGCTGGTGCTGCGGGAGGAGCTGTACAGCCGGTACCTGCACGGGATCCGGGCAGCCACCTCCGACGCCCTCACCGCCAAGGTGGCCAATCTCTCCGCCTGCCGCGCGGTGCCCGGCGCCCTGCTGCCCCGGGGCACCCGGGTCTCCCTCACCATCCGCCGCGTCCCCAAGGTGCTCCGAACAGCCCCGATGCTGGGCAGGAGGAAATGAGAGGGCGCTTCCTTCGGGGTGGGCTGTGACCCGCCGTGCGGAGCGGCCCCGAAGCCGAGGGCGGCGGTGACCCCAAGTGGGACGGGGGTGGATTCTGCTCCGGGAGCCGGACGCCTGGGTTCTGTCCCCGGCTTCGAGGAGACAGTTGGGTTCAGTGGTTGGAGCAGGAGGCACTCCTGGCTTCTCTTGCCAGCTCTAGGAAGGGGACAGTATTAGAGCAGGGGCCTCTGACGCCGGAGCTCCTGGCCTGTGCACCCCTCCTGCCCGTGAGCTTCGGGTGAGACCCACCCGCATCCGGTGCCTCAGTTTCTCCTGGTGTACAATGGGCCCCTCCAGCTCCATGGCACGCCTCTATATTCATCTTGATACATGGAGTGGAAATAAAGCTCCTTGCTGCACCTGCCTGGAGTCTCTCAATGCCCCCGCAACCCTGGGTGCTGTTCCCCTTGCCCCCCACATCTGGGCTGTGTGCTTAGCTCCCGCAGGAGAGCGTGGCCGGGTGGTTAGAGCAGGGGGGCTGGGAGTTGCAAACTCCTGGGTTCGATGGCGGGGGAGCCCGGACTGCTGGATTCTGCTCTTTGCTTTGAGACATGCACGTGCGTGGAGATGAGAACAGGGAGGGATAAGAGCCGGACCGCCCCGGGTCACTCCTGCCCTGAGCCGCCTCAGGCCCTCTTCTGTGCCTCAGTTTCCCCGTGTTTAAACAAGGCAATGGGTCCGCAGAGCTGGCAGAGGGCACCGCTGCCCCGAAACACGACTCCCCCTGCCAGCTCTGCCTGCTGGGGCTTCCCCCTCCTCCACCCCCACCACCCACGAGGTGTCCAGCCCCCCACCCCGTGCCCGCTCAGAGTGGGAGCAACGTGGTCCCCATTTGCGGTTCCCTCTGGGAAAAGATCCTGGGGCTGAAGAGAGCCAGACTCCGCTTTCCACGCAGGGAGGCCCCGAGAGCCAGGGTGCATGGAGAGAACTCTGCCCCCGAGATCACCCGGCCCCTCTCGTGCACCCACCCCGCTCCAGGCCTCACCCCACGCAAAGCCCCTGATTGGCAGCGAGGCAGGACTTCCGCTCCCGGTCACCTACCTGCAGGCACCTGGCACCTGCCCATGCCTTTGTGCCTCCCCGCTGGCCGGAGCCGGGAGAGCTGCGGGGCGGCAATGCACAGGTGCGGGAGCTGGGGTGGGAG